AGAGCCAGGCGGATCTCTGTGAGTTCGAGGCCAGCCTGGGCTACCAAGTGAGTTCCAGGAAAGGCGCAAAGCTACACAGAGAAACCCTGTCTCAACCACCCCCCCCCAAAAAAAAACCTGGAAGAATTAACTGTGTGTAATTTCAATTGAAACAGAATATGGGATTTAATAAATAGAAGAAGGTTAGGACACAGGGTCTATATTTAACTATTTTACCATGGATTTAGCAGTCATAGCAGTTTAAGCAGCAAAAATATGGATTTTAATTCTGGGGCACAAATATTTATTGGATTCTCAAACAGTATTTAGTAGAATATGAAGTGTGCCAAATAATCAATCATAACAAACAACACTGAAGCACATGCATTATAAAAGCTTAGAAATAAACTCTAATTAGCACCATTACTAATTTGCCTGAAACACATATAGGCTTCAAGCAGGGGCTAGATCATATCAGTGCTGAAACAAGAGAAAAGGCTGTAATCCATTAGGAGGGATTATAAATGTAAAGTAGGCATCCTAAAAACAATTTTCAGTATGTTGGGGTTACAATTTTCCTTGAACACAAAAATGTCACCTGGTATGACATTTCAGAGTTGTTTTAGAATGCATTACCTTCTGTACCATCTCTTTTGTATGCATCAAAATCTAAATAAAACAAAAGTCAATATTAATATATTACACAATTACAAAGGCATAAATATAGCACAAGACATTCCCAATTTCCAAGCATCTTTAAAGCTCCTGAATATTTCACAACACCCAATCTCAAATAACAGTAACATCAATATAATCTAAGTTTTCCTTTATGCTGATACTTAATAGAGACATGAAAGGCAATAAATATCTGTATTTCTGTGTATCTATAATAAACATGTATAATAAGGTATTCCTTAATAGTATGGCAAAGGTCACTTATTCTCAGTACTAATGTCTTAATAGAATTCCATGACTAAAGAAAGCATTATAGTGCTTAAATCTCCCAATTCATACTCATATTCAGACTCTTAAAAGGTGAGTAGCAAAGTACTCCATTTAAATTAAAATTCTTTCCTATATTAAATTCCTTGAAGGTGACTATACGGCCTGGAGATAGCATACTGCCCAGAAAAATGATGGATTTCAGTAAACAGTAAATGAAAACAAACATACAGATAACTATGAATGGGTCTATACCCAGGCCCACATGGCTACACAATATGAAACATAAAATAACGTACACACAGACAAAAACAGATAGAAGTTACATTGGACCCTATCAAAAGCAACATATTTAATATGTGAAGGACTCTGAAGATGTAATAATATGATGTACTGAGAGCAGAGACAGAGGCAAAGAGATACTAAATCATATGAAAGACATTATGGTGAGAGCACTTCCTGCATTCTATCCTTTCTTTCTCCAATATCTCCAAGAGGGAGCTACTATTAATATCCACATTTGTTAGCTGTGAAATCATTTCTCTCTCCTAGCCACAGCAAAACAAGGGTACAAAACTAGGCACTCTGGCTCCAGGACAGAAGCCTTGGTCACTCAATACTATTGCCACTCCAGTATCATTTATTCTTCATGCATCAATCTAAATCAGAAGTTTCTTTCCAATGAGTCAGAAATTTGCTTTCATTCATGGCTCTTTCTCCTGCCTTGTCAGCTAAGCTGAAATCCCAAGGTTTCATTTCAGTCTTTCTTATCTTCCATAATTCAGAGTACTTCTGTCATTGAAGCACTTGATCCATCTATCCACCATTGCCTATCTTCATTACCACTCCCCTCTCTTACTATTGTCCAACTTTGTTCATATATTCAAAAGTTCCGTGCAGGGGGGGGGTCGTGGTGAATTCTGATTAAGCTAAGCCAGTAGTTTTTACATTGGCTACATAGTGGAATTACCTCAGGCTCATTAAATAACTAAAGCAGTGACAACCAAAAAATGTCTCTGGAACCTGTTCCTAGTGTAAAACTCTGACTCCAATGTCGAGAACTACTGTGCAAGAGTACTAGCTTTCTAAACTTTATTACATGGTTGTATTTTCTTCCTCTCCCAAAGCAAATATCGCCCCCCCCGCAGAATATCTTTGACCAGAAGTGGGATTTTTTTTTTGGTTTATTAATTTTTTTCATTTATTTTACATCTCAACCTCAGTTTCCCTTCCCTCCTCTCCTCCCATTTCCTTTCCCACCTCCTCTCTGTCCCTCATCCACTCCACCTTTATTTCTATTCATAAAGGGGCAGTCTCCCATGGGTGTCAACAAAGCATGGTATATCAACTTGAGGTAGAACAAAGCTCCTCCCTTTGTATTGAGGCTGGGCAAGGCAACCCAGTGTGAGGAATAGGTTCCCAAGAGCCAGCTCATGCATTAGACTCTCAGTGCTAGGAGTCCCACAAAAAGACAAAGCTACACGACTATCACACGTAAGTAGAGGGCCTAGGTCGGTCTGACCAGTCTGACCAGAAGTTTTTTAAAAAGAGGATTCTTAGGACTGGTCCAAGAAAACCATGGTAATTCCATTCTGGAGGCATTACTGACTTAGACATATTCATATGACAACTTTACCTTGACAGATTAAACAAAGGTAAGGAGAATCCTCTAGGAAACTTCTGCAAAGGGTTTTTGTTCCTCATGAGAATTAGAAGAAAACCAGCCTCAAAGATTGAGAGCTAGCTAGAGCAGGCAACAGGCATCATGGTAACCATGAAGGACAATGGTAGAAGGTTCAAGCTAAAATGCTAAGGACGCACCTGACTCACAGGGATAGGTGGTTACTGCTGAATGACACCTATGAAATAACATTCTAACTTTTCTGAGGACTTAACAACTTGAATGAATCAGAACTAATCTCCTAAGTGTTTTCAGAGCCTCCGAGATCAAGCTCAAATTCTACAGCTATATCTAAACCCCAGCTCTACCTGTACAGCTGTTATTTCCTTCACTAAACCTCTAGCTGGGCAAAAAAAAAAAAAAAAAAGTCATATATTCAAAAGTTCTGTGGTTCATCTTTTGTTGCCTTCACTCATACAAAGAAATTTCTGCCCCAGTCCTCTGACCATGATTACATTTTACAAAGTTCCGCTTAAACCCAACTTTATTCCATAAAGCCTGAGCTGACCATCCAAGCCTAGAATGATCTCATTGACTGTTCTCCAGTTTCTCATAGACTGTGCTGTTTCTCTAGTAATTAATAACTTTTACACTCCCCAAGTAGACCACAAACTTGTGGAGGTCCAAGGGCGTGTTCACACCTACAGACCTTAGCTATGACAAAAAATCAAAAGCTATGTGCCAAGTGCCTGGCAGGTCCCATTGTAATCTCAATTATTTTTCTATTAGACACTAAAATTAAATTATGGGACAATGCAGTGTGGGAAAATACCCAACCTTTTTTTTTTCCGGGGGTGGGGGGGTGGGGAGAGACATAATGAGATTGGCCCAAGTTAAGTTAATCCCAGAGAGGACAGAACTACTTATCAAAGGTTCATGTCCACTTCCTTACAAGACTTAGCTACTCTCATCACAACAGTCAACTCCATAAGCTCCCTAGGTTAACTAAGGCAACTGTTACATGCATATGAAGTAGCCCAGGAGCAATCTGTCACTTTTTCACTACATATTCAGTATCCATGTTCTCCAAGGCTTTCTACCAAGAGCTGGTGACAATGCCCTCATGTCAAAGTTTTCACCACAGTCTGTAACTCTTCAATTTATCTGATATTGTATCAGACAAACTGTAACCAGGCTGATCACTATCCTCTTGTGCTTCTTCACTAAGCAGTTCTACGTGGGGGATAATGTGGTGACCTAGACAGAGTCCAGTGTTTTCCCAAGTACTAATGAACAAGATCATCCAGGCTGCCTTAGGCTCAAGCTTCGATTCAAACTGTTCACTGGGGAGGGCTCTGATGTTTGGATACCCAGTGAACTACAAAATGAAGCTCTGAGACTTTACCTGAAGATGTGTCTGTTACAGAGGTTATATGTAGTTCACTTCCTGACCTAGAAAAAGGACCTATGGACTCATTTTCTTTTCATTGTGTCCCACCACCTTATTACAAAAGCCAACCCATATGAATGTTCTAGAAACTATTAATCAAAAACTTATACATTACAGGTAGTTTCTACATTGAAGAAATGCATTTTTAAAAATAGCCACTGGTATCTAGAAAAATCTACTGGACACAAGGTACAGTGAACACAAGATGACCGTTCATAAATTCACTTCAAAGTGACAAGCCTAATATTAAAGCTAGCCATTCTGACAGAAAATCATTTTATGAGCACCAGCGGCCAGCAAACAGGGCTCGAAAGATTGCTAAACTCATTAATAAGGCAGTCTGCAGCTATCTGATTTCACAGCAACACCTGCATATTTAGCTACTCATTACCAATTGGATGATGGAATTTTTTCAAGCACATTTCAAAAATCTGCCAACTTCAAGTGTAAAAAAATAAACTTTGTGGTTAATTTTTCCCTTAACAAAGTACAGCTGTTGAGAATAATTGTTCAAGATCTTACCCTGTAATGTCAACTGCAGCAGAACAAAGAGTATTTAATTAGCAAATCTATCCAGTAATTCAACACCTATTATATAAAATGCCTTCGTGATTTTATTCAGGATAATTTGCTAAGAGGGTTATTACTGACATTCAGATGGAATTTAAAATTCCTACGCAAGTCGAGTCATAATAGCAGTAATGATCTCCCCAATCAGGAGATTCGGTGTCACACAAGGCTCTCTTGCAATGCAGCAGCCGATTTCCTGACTTCTTAATTCCTGGGCTCAGCTCAGTGAGAGCCCTTCATGCCGATATTTCAGTCAGCAATACATCTTTAATGGGACTCTATTAAAATAACTAGAACAAAAATGACTTTTTTTTTGGTTAAAAAGAATGACAGCACTGCCATCATATCAATCATTGCAGGCTTTGCAGAACAGTGCCGTTAAGGGGAAAGAGGAGGGGGAAACAGGAAAGGGGTAGGGGTGGGGGTGGGGAAAGCAATAATTAAAAAAAAAATATCAAAAGGTATTTTAACCCAAATCTGAGCCTCGGAAGGCTGGAGAAAGGTGGTAAAAACTAGAAATGAAAACTTAAAATTTAAAAAATTGATTTTTTTAAAAGAAAATGGTTTGTTCTGGAATACACTTAAATATGCTGTTTACTAAGCAGAAAGTACAAATTTTCTACACCAAGGTTAACAGCAGCAACCTAAGACTACTACTGACATGTGTATTTATAGGTTCTCCTAATATGCCCAGCAGGACACCTGGGTATTTATCTATATTTTCTTTCAAAAGAATACTGTTGTGTTGCAAAGCATTCAAAAGTTATGAAATGTTTTTAGATGTCATTGTAGATTAATAGTGTTTATTAACAATAAACAATCAAGGGCATCAGCTTTTCACAGTTAAAAAAAGTTTCAAGGTCCTACTCCCAAGGTTATGTCTACTACTAATAATACGTACTAACAAGAAACCCACTTTGATGCATAATCTATGTTAAACATAATGAAAAATCTTACATTCTAATGAAATACTGTATAAGGTCAAATTCTGCAAAGCAAATAATGCATAAAGAGAATGGTAATGAAATCTCAATGGCTACTAATGACATAGAATTAGAAATAAGGGAAAATTTAAGAAGTACATTA